TGCTGCTCCCTGGCTCCCTAACTGGGACCCACCCGTGGGGCAGAGTTGTAGAGAAAAGACTATGAAACAGAAACTCTTTACTCGCCTCCAAGATCTTCCTACTTTTGTCTACTCATTGTCCTCAAATATTATAGTTACATTATATATATATATATATATATATATATATATATATATATATATATAAATGGTTTCTTTTTAATGCTTCCAGCATTATAGTTTAGTATTAAGCTAATGGTAACTTCATAAAATCATTGTTTCTGAAGATAATTTTTGAGATTTATAGGGAGGTAGAAATGCATGACTTTCCTCTGGCTTTGCCATTTGTTGCCTAGTATTATGTATAACATTTCCTTAGCCAAAAGGTTTAAAGAAAATATTAGCAAATCAAACCTAGTTGTGTAGTGAAAGAATAACATGCATATATGAATTAGGTCTATTGTACAAATTCTAGGATAATTTAATATTAGCAAATATATCATTATAGGCTGGGCATGGTGGCTCAAGCCTGTAATCCCAGCACTTTGGGAGGCCGAGGTGGGTGGATCACGAGGTCAAGAGATCGAGACCATCCTGGTCAACATGGTGAAACCCCACCTCTACTAAAAATATTTTAAAAATTAGCTGGGCATGGTGGCGTGTGCCTGTAATCCCAGCTACTCGGGAGGCTGAGGCAGGAGAATTGCCTGAACCCAGGAGGCGGAGGTTGCGGTGAGCCGAGATCGCGCCATTGCACTCCAGCCTGGGTAACAAGAGCAAAACTCCGTCTCAAAAAAAAAAAAAATATATATATATATATAATTATATATCTAATATATATAAAATTTATATAATATTATATATATAATATATATAAAATTACAATATATATAATTTATATAATATATATAAAATTATAATTCAGAATGTAAGTAAAGGATAAATTCATTATTATCTCATTAGATGTTTAAAGAAACATCTAGATGTAGAAAGCTTCTGAAAAAAAATTAGCTGCCATTTCTTAATAATTATAAAAAATAGGAATAGAAGGAAACTACATAAACATGGTAAATAATCTTTACTAAAATATAACAACAAACCAACCTATTAAAATATGAAATACTAAAACTATCACAGTGAAAATCATAAGGTAATATAAAAATTATTGCTATCACAACTATTTTGTATAGTTTAGTATTATTGCTTTGTGCTAGTAGTGTAAGGCTAAATTCTTTATTTCCAGAAGATACACATCTAGGAAATCTAAATCTATATGTGAGACTATTGGCACTAATAAGAAAATGTGGTAAGGTAGCTGGATACAAAGAAGAGAAATCAATTACCTCCTTATTTTCCAGCAAAGTAAAAACTGAAAGTAAAACTGAATGGGGCGAGTGCGGTGGCTTACACCGGTAATCCTGTCACTTTGGGAGTCCGAGCTGGTGGATTGCCTGAGCTCAGGAGTTCAAGACGAGCCTGGGTAACATGGGGAAATTTCGTCTCTAAAATCAAAACAAAAAAACTGAATGAACAGAATATATTCTCATATATTGAATATCTGTTTTACTATGCGTTTAAAATCCAGAGCTTACCATTTTTGAGAAGCTCTTCAAAAAGATGTATGACATGTTGATTCCAAAAGAACGTTGTGAGGATTAAGTGAGATAAAACACATGAAAAATTTTTAAGAAAATTATCAAGGTTGCCTATATAATATATTGAATGAGAAACTGAGGAGAAAAAGAAGGGCAGCTGCAGTTTCTAAAGGGAATCTACAGTGAGTAGTAGTCCAGCTCACAACTAGAGTTCCAGACCTCTGGTTAAATATGGTGCCTTGACCTTACTTGTTTTCTCTTTTCCTTCCCTAAAGTCTGCAGTTCTCAAAGGAAGCTTAAAAATGTTAATTCATAGCTAAGCAGATGGGGGGTTGGCACCTATAATCCCAGCCACTTGGGAGGCAGAGGCAGGAGAATCACTTGAACCCAAGAGGCAGAGGTTGCAGTGAGCCAAGATTGTGCCACTGCACTCCAGCCTGGGCAACAAAGCAAGACTCTGTCTCAAAGAATAAATAAATAAAATAATAAAATACATAAATAAATCTTAATTCATAAGGAGAAAGATAATAGTAAAGGAGACAATGACCAAAGATTTTAACAATTTCTGCAAAACCCGAAGTGAATGGAGGGAGTAGTAATTGAGTTCACTGAGGAAGATACCACCTGAGCACCTACAGAGGTCAATTACAGAGATATAAATCAGCATGCCCCAGGGATAGCTTGAGGGAATTCCTGTGCTTGGAGGCTCCATATATTCCAAAATTCAGAAGTCAGTTTTACAGCTCAAGTGGCAATTCCTTAAAAGTCCATGTCCAGATCTTCTAGGCCTTCCTCTTCTATGCCTCGGCAGATAGGTGTAGATTTCAGTCCCCTGTCTGCTGAGGAAATGGGAGGAGCACCAGAACCAGAGGTGCTCCAGACTAGGTGAAGCATGGGATTGAAAGTCAAGTGACCCTGTACAGGACTTCACACCGAAGTGTAGGGTCCTACCTCTTTCTCTCTTCTTCACTGCTCCCCAAGGCAGGACTTAGGTGAGTTGATCCCTTCGCATCTCACCCAACACTTCTATCTGGCAAAACTTAACAGCTTCTGTGAAAGAATCTCCACATACTGAACATTTGGAGGTCTCCCAATCAAAAGGTGACTCAGTATACCTGAAGATTTTACATAGAAGCCCATCAGTCAACAAACCTGCCACTCACACTGAGCTTGGGCAGTTTTTTAGTGCTTCATTGTTATATGGAGGTGTATTCAGGGATCACTAGATATATGAGGAAAGCCTTAAAAGTGAAAGAGATGGCTGAGGCAGGGAGATCACGAGGTCAGGAGTTCAAGACCAGCCTGACCAACATGGTGAACACCTGTCTCTACTAAAAATAGGAAAATTAGCCAGGCGTGGTGGCAGGCGCCTGTAATCCCAGCTCAGGAGGCTGAGGCAGGAGAATTGCTTCAACCTGGGAGGTGGAGGTTGCAGTGAGCTGAGATTATGCCATTGCACTCCAGCCTGGGCAACAGAGCGAGACTCTGTCTCAAAAAAAAAAAAAAAACAAAGGGGAAAGAGACCCAAACCAGTTAGTGAGCCAGCGAACAAAAAAGGAACCCGGAGGAATCTAATGATCCAAGAAACAGAAGAAAACTAAAAGCAAAATAAAATAATCAGAGGAAATTAAATTGTCATTTTTTTTTTTTAAAGAACAGAGTGCTAGGAATAGAGAACAAGAAAGTGCTTTTAGAAATTTAAAAATGTGATAGCGGGAAAAACTTCTGTGGACAAATTGGAAGATGAAATTGTGGTATATTAGGGCAAGAGACTGTCATTTAAAAAAAATCTAAATTTGTCTAAGATTTTAAATCTGTGAATATTTAGTACTCATTATTCTTTTTTGTTTGTTTTTTGAGGCAGGGTCTCACTTCCGTTGCTCAGGCTGGAGTACAGTGACGCCACCATCTCAGCTCACTGCAGCCTTGATCTCCTGAGCTCAGGTTATTCTGCCACCTCCGCCTCCTGAATAGCTGGGACTACAGGCTTGTACAACCACCTTTTGTATTTTAGTAGCAACAGGGTTTTGCCATGATGCCCAGGCTGATCCTGAACTCCTGGACTTGAACAATCGGCCCAACTCAGCCTCTGAAAGTGCTGGGATTACAGGCGTGAGCCACTGCGCCCAGCCTGTATTCATTTTTAACTGTGCATTTACTCTGTCAAAATTAAATTAAACATAGGGGAAAATATTCAGTAAGTCTGGATTTTTGTTTTTAGCTGGAGAAAGGACTGACTTTTTTTCACATTGGTTCATGAATAAGTAATACCAGATGGAGATTTTTGGAGCATTAGATTTGTGTTTGGTATTCTGGGACAGATGTTAGTGGAATATGCGTTATTTACAGTCTTTCTCAAAATCAGGAGTCCTGCTAATTCCATAGCCTTTGGTTACCAAATGAATGGTATTGCTGTAATCACTTACCCTCTCTGATTTTCATTTTCCTGATCCATGATATGGGGATGGTAATAATGGTAACCTATCTCACAGGGCTGTGATAATGAGTAGAAGAGGTAAGACCTATAAATTACCTAGTAAAATGTGTAGCATGGGCTGGGTGTGGTGGCTCACGCCTATAATCCCAGCACTTTGGGAGGCCAAGGCGGGTGGATCACGAGGTCAAGAGATCGAGACCATCCTGGTCAACAAGGTGAAACCTCGTCTCTACTAAAAATACAAAAAACTAGCTGGGCATGGTGGCGCGCACCTGTAGTCCCAGCTACTCAGGAGGCTAAGTCAGGAGAATTGCTTGAACCCAGGAGGCGGAGGTTGCGGTGAGCCGAGATAGCACCATTGCACTCCAGCCTGGGTAACAAGAGCGAAACTCAGTCTCAAAAAAAAAAAAAATCTGTAGCATGTACTAAGTGCTCAATGAAAAGAAGCTGTGACTATAACCATCAACTAGATGCACTGGTATTTATAGATGGTTAAGAAAAAGGCATAGTCACCCCTCTGTATCCATGAGTTTCACGAAGTCCAGGGTTTAACCTACCACAGATTGAAAACATTTGGGGAAAAAAAATTGTTTGTACTAAACATGTACAGACTTCTAAGTAATACAGTATAACAGTTGTTTACATAGCATTTACATTGTATTAGGTATTATAAGTAATCTAGAGATTATTTAAAGTATACAAGAGGATGTGCTTAGTTTATATGCAAATACTGTGCCATTTTATATCAGGGACTTGAGGATCCATGGATTTTTTTTATCCATAGGAGGTCTTGGGACCAATCTTCCTGGGATAATGAGGGACAACTGTATATTTAAAAAGTAACACATGAATGAATGAATTCCTTAATTGTAGAGTTATGCTCTAACTCTAGTATTAGTCTTCTGACCATTTAAGACAGCATGTTGGTGTGTTTCTGATTATACAGGAATCAAGTTTTCATAAACTTAAATGTTGCATTTCAATTACAGGCGTCAATTAGCAAGGTAAAAGTAACAGAACCATGGCTCAGTTTCCAACACCTTTTGGTGGTAAGTTTTCAGAAATTTCCTTTTTTAATGTACTTTGGAACCAGATTTTTAAAACTTGATATTATGGCAAATTTAAAATTAAAAAGTAGAGAAAAATAATATAATCAGCCTTCATATATTCCATCATATAGTTTCATTAATTATCAACTCATGCTCAATATTGTTTCATCTGGATTCTTTTGGAGCAACTCCCAGGCATCATATCATTTCATCTATAAATATTTTAGTATGTATACCTAAAAGATAAGAAAATGTTTAAAGATGTAACTTCAGTGCCATTATCACACCTATAAAAATTTATAATACTGGGCTGAGTGAGGTGGCTCATGCCTGTAATCCCAGCACTTTGGGAGGCTGAGATGGGTGGATCACCTGAGGTCAGGAGTTCAAGACCAGCCTGGCCAACATGGTGAAACCCTGTCTCTACTAAAAATACAAAAATTAGCCAGGCATGGTGGTGGGCGCCTGTAGTCCCAGCTACGTGAGAGGGGAATTGCTTGAACCTGGGAGGTGGAGGTTGCAGTGAGCTGAGATCATGCCACTGCACTCCAGCCTGGGCAACAGAGCAAGACTCCATCACAAAAAAAAAAAAAAGTTGTACAATACCTTATTATCGCACCTGTAAAATGTTTGCTATATCTGGTCCGTATCTTATAGTCTTTATACATTTCCTTGATAGTCTTTAGACATTTCTTGTGATGGTTTGTTTGTTTACATTGGGATCCAAATAAGGTATAACCATTGAAATTAGGTCATGTTTTTCCCAAGTCTCTTAGTGAATTTTCCCCCACTCCTCTGTTTTTTTATCAGCAAGTTATTTGTTGAAGTGATGGGGTCATTTACACTTTTTCATAGCCTGGATTTGAAGCTTGACATTTTTGTCTGTTTTACTCTAGTTAGATGACTAAAGTTTGAAACATATCAGACAGCATAAAATGTGTTTTTTGGGTAATTTTTTCTAAGGTCACTAAGAAATTGTTAAATGTTCTTGCTTACAGCCAAGTTTTTTTTTTTTTTAAGTTATTTTTTAAACAAAAATACTAATCAAAAATAGTACTTATTAAAAAAATACCTATTAAAAATCCATATTAATGGGTTACTCTTGAAAGCTCTCTGATCTTATCATTGAAGAGAGTAAAAGTCTCAATGCGATTCTGGTACAGAGATCTGTAAACTTTTTGAAATTATTAGTTATTCTGTTTTATTTTTGTTCCCCTTCTTAATAACTACAATTTTTGGTTTTTGTTTAGAGTTCTAGGTATGAATTCTGACAGGGCAGTAAAAATTTCTTGTAGAAATTTCAGAACTGTAAGGCCCGTGAGGGAGGGATTCATCTCTGTCTTGGACACCACTTCATCCCCACAGTAAATATTTTTCTAGATTCCTACTTTATCTGTCAGTGTCATACCAGACCCTGTAGAGAGGGGAGATGCAATGTTTAGATGTTTTTGCTTGTGTGCTGGGCACATTCACCTGTGTGAAACATACATATCATGTATTCCCAGTTTTGTGGAAAGTGTCCGAGCTTTTGAAAGCTTTCCGTGTATGTAATCTAGAATTATTTTAGTCAGTTTGAGGAGACCTAGGACTAACGTCAGCAAGATCTCGATCGTAAGTGGACATCTAGTAAAGACCTGAAACTTATGAAGGAAAACCTAAAACCCATTCTTTTTGGCTATGACGTCATATCAGGACATCCCCGCCCCTACTTTTTTTTAACTCTGCTTCCTGCTCACTGAGATACCCAGTTTTTAAAACAGCTTTAGTGAAATGTAATTTACATTCCATAAAATTTGCTAGCTTTAACTGTATAATAATTTTTAGTAAATTTATAGAATTGTACAACCATCACCACAATCTAATATATTATTTTAATCACTCCCCAAAAGATTTTTATGGATATTAATCACACTCAACTTTTTCTTTCATAGCTTTTTGCCTGTGGCATTTAAGGCACTGGAGAGTGCAGTTTTAAGTTTAGGTTAATTTAGTCTGTTGCTCGGGTTTATGTAAGTAAGTGATTAATTTGCTATAATCTTGCTAACTATGGGATTATAGGACAAGTTTCTAAGAAAGGAATGTGTGCCTCTTCTTTTCTTTCTCTCCCATTCTCTCTCTTTCTGTTTCTTACATTTTGTGTCCTGTTTTATACTTAATTTTCTAACTTTATATGCAAAACTTCCAAGGACAAGCAGATGTGAATTTATCAAGTTTTTATAATACATTGACGGAATCTTGAAGTGCTGTGGAAATAGTGTGTGAGAGCATTTTGTTTTTCTTTTCTCACTGAATAATTTGTTTGTCTTTTCTTTGGATTTTAGGCAGCCTGGATGTCTGGGCCATAACTGTAGAGGAAAGAGCGAAGCATGATCAGCAGTTCCATAGTTTAAAGCCAATATCTGGATTTATTACTGGTAATCAGAGTCAGCATTTTATCATTTTTACTTATCAGTAGTGCAGATGTCTGTGGAAACTCTGTTATGCAAAGTCAAGGTGGGCAAATATGAGCAAGGAGAGATATTTACCTATTTTGCCTTAACCATGAGCCTGTATTTTTACAATTGTTTTACACATAATTGATTCATATCTTGTTTGCAATTTTTGGTGCATGTCAAACCACTTGTTTTGTGCATATAATTTGTGAAAATTGGTTAAGATCAAAGGACCAGTGGCTCACACCTCTAATCCCAGCACTTTGGGAGGCTGAGGCAGGCAGATCACTTGAGGTCATGAGTTCCAAACCAGCCTGGCCAACATGGTGAAACCCCGTCTCTACTAAAAATAAAAAATTAGGTGGTTGTGGTGGCAGGTGCCTGTAATCCCAGCTACTTTGGAGGCTGAGGCAGGAAAATTGCTTGAACTCAAGAGGCAGAGGTTGCAGTGAGCCAAGATCACGCCAGTACACTCTAGCGAGACTCCTAGAGTGACGGAGCAAGATTCCATCACGCCAGTGCACTCTAGCGAGACTCCTGGGTGACGGAGTAAGACTCCATCTCAAAAAATAAACAAACTAATTTTCTTGTTTGATTATTTTTTAAGAATTCACTTTAGAAAAAATAGGATCTTTATTGCCTGGGGAATTTTTTTTTTTTTTGTATGTGTTTGTACCGTTATTCTCTTTTATTACCTGTTCATAATGGATGTGATTCTTTTTTTTGTGTTTGTTTTGAGACGGAGTTTCGCTCTTGTTGCCTAGGCTGGAGTGCAGTGGCGTGATCTTGGCTTACTGCAACCTTCACCTGCTGGGTTTAAGTGATTCTTCTGCCTCAGCCTCCTGATTAGCTGGGATTAAAGGCACTTGCTACTACGCCTAGCTAATTTTTTGTATTTTTAGTAGGTACAGGGTCTCACCGTGTTGGCCAGGCTGGTCGTGAACACCTGACCTCAGGTGTGATTCTTAGTTATTTTTACTTATTCTCCATAATTATATCAGAAGTACCCAGAATTTGGAGTTTAGGTATTGGGAATGGCAATAAACTTTTTTTACGAAGTGAAATGAAAGTATGGTTCGTCAGTTTCCTAAGGATTCCTGTAAATATGCTTTTGCACAATGGGTAGCTGTTAATATCTTAGTTAATAGCAGATTAATTAAAGTGGAAAATCTATGCCAGCAAATGGTAGGCCCTTTTTGAGATGATTTTTTAAAGTGTTAAATTCTAAAGTCGGTGCTGTTGGATTCTTTTACCGTTGCCTAAGGGCTTATCCTCGGACTTGTATAACACACTCAAGTCTGTATTTTTAGTATTACCAGCCTCTTTTTAAATTTTGCAATTTTGCTGTTAGCGGATTTCTGTCAGCTTTTGTTTTTTTCTGAAACTTTAATTTTCTATTTAATTTACAGGTGATCAAGCTAGAAACTTTTTTTTTCAATCTGGGTTACCTCAGCCTGTTTTAGCACAGATATGGTAAGTTGGAATTTTACATAAGCAGATGGCAAAATAAAATACTGTTTAGTTCTTTTTGGTAATATGATTTCTTAGGTTATAAAAGGAGAACATGTATCTCTAGCCTGAAATACCTTGTTACTTCTTACCAGAAAATTATGTCTGAAAAGTGTCTTATTAATATGGAACTAAAACAAAACAACAACAACAACAAAAAATGGTGACATTTGAATGACAACACTGTCAAATAGTTAAATTTCCACGGAGACATCTAAATTTTGGTGTTCTCTCACTAGTTTTGGCTTCTTCCATATCACCCATATTTGTTTGGATGTCCCACATTTCTTGCTTTATATTGGAATGATTTTTTATCTTTCATTGAAGAATAAAAGGTAAAGGAAATATTTGAGAGTTAGTGCATGGTGAATACATAATATTAATAAATAATGTTGAATTCTTTGACTGTCACAAATAGGCATTCAATCTCTTAAGCCACAGAAAATACAGAGAGTATAATAAAAAGGGTGGCAGATACAGTTTGGATTCTAGGATCATGCTGACTTCTGTTGTCCTGCAAGATGCCTCATTTTTTCACTAAGTGTGTCCTGTAAGATGCCTCATTTTTTCAGTAAGTGTGCTTAATACTTCACTTCCCTGAGTTAGCGACATGAAGGCAGCTTGCTATAAAGAAAGAGCACGTGATTTCTAGTCGTACACCTGAGTCTGAATCCCAGCTGTACCATTTTCAGTGTCTCTGCTTTGGAGATACAGTTACCCTCTTTGACCTCAGTTTTCTAATCTAGAAAATAGGAATGCATATAGTTTTGTGAGAGTTGTTGAGAAGATTATTAGAAAAACCAGGGGCTTACTGTGGCTCATGGCACATAATAGGCCCTCAAAATAAAACCCCAAAAGGTATCATCTCCAGGGACTGGGTATTCCACATAACTAAATTTTTCAGCTAATTACTTTGTCCTCTTTAGTGACCAAGCCTTTTAATTTATAATCTTATGGGAATTAATAAAGGTTGATAGAGCTTTTTGTTTCTTTTAAGCAGAGTCTACAGAACACAATCTAAGCTTTTCTTGATGAAATGTCATAATGAAAATCAGTAACTCTGTCCTGAAATAGCAGAACTTTCATGGGATGTGTGTGTGTGTGTGTGTGTGTGTGTGTGTGTGTGTATTTGGATATATTTGAAATGAAATGAAATGATACCAGATCCCTGTGCTTTTTTTGGGTGTCTGCTTTATTTTCTTTTTTCCTGGTTGTCAGCATATTGGCTGTTAGACTGTCTCTTTAAACCTAGTGTGCTTGCTCCTATGAAGCCATTCTGATTCTAACTTCTGATCTATTAGAGCTAGAAAAATCAGATAGCCAGGTGGTTTTGGAATTACATTTTAAGTAAAGTAAAAGTCTCAGATGTCCACAAGTAAGAAGTCATGCACAAGTGAGCACAGAAGTGCTGTTCTGTCAGTTAAATGTCGAAGTTTTAGACGCAAGAGACCTGTGGCACCCGTGTGAGTTGTAACAAGCTTCTTCTGTTTTGCATCTCATACTTGATCATGTTTCACACCATCAGAACCTCTCACTGGAACCTTCTTTCCCATATTTCACTTCCTCCACTGGATTATGCTTTTATGTTGCATTCCTAATTTTTGAAAATTCATTTATTCTTTCAACATTAAAAAAATATTTATCAGATTTCTACCGCAGACCAGGGACTGTTAAGAGATGGGATCTTGCTATGTTGCCCATGCTGGTCTCAAACTCCTGGACTTGAGCCATCGTCCTGCCTTACCTCCCAAAGTGCTCAATTATAGGTGTGACCACCATGCCTGGAAATGACAACTGTCTTAACTGAAAAAAGTAACATTTGGCTGGGTGTAATCTCAGTTCTTTGGGAGGCCAAGGTAGGAGGATCACTTGAGCCCAGGTGTTTGAGACCAACCTGGGCAACATAACAAGCCCTTATCTTTACAAAAAATAATTATTTTGAGTTAGCTGGGCATGGTGGTGCATGCCTGTAGTCTTAGCTGCTAGGCAGGCTCAAGTGGGAAGATGGCTTGAGCCCTGGAGTTCGATGCTGCAGTCAGCTATGATTGTGCCTTCTAGCCTGGATGACAGAGCAAGATCCTGTCTCTAAAAGTAAAAACATTTGTCTTAACTTTTCTAAAAACGGTTGTAGTTGTCTTAACTTTCTAAACTATTTTTACCTGAGTGGCCCAAAGTCAGGTTTTTATAGTGACCATTTTTATTAAAGATGGTAATTTGGCATTTTAAGATTGAATCAAAAAAGTATTTTTTTGTTGATTTTTTTCTGACATTTTGCTAAATAAGTTTGTGATGACATATTTTATTACAAAAAATGTTATAAGTCTCTTTTCCCAAAAGAAATATCTTTGAAAAGTCATTGGAAATTTCATGAACCACTGATAGCCTGCCCAGATGATGAGATAATGCAGAGCAAAGTATGAGTTCAGCAAGATCTGTCTTTCAACTGAGCTGATTGATTGTTATTCACATAGTAACCCTAGGCAGGACTTGATCTCTTAAAGCCTAGGCTTTTTTTGATTTTTGTTTTGTTTGTTTTGAGACAAGTCTTGCTCTGTCACCCAGGCTGGAGTACAGTGGCACTATCTCAGCTCACTGCAACCTCTGCCTCCCAGGTTCAAGTGATTCTCCTGTCTCGGCCTCCCAAGTAGCTGGGATTAGAGGCACCCACCACCACGCCCACCTAATTTTTGTATTTTTAGTAGAGATGGGGTTTCACCATGTTGGCCAGGCTGGTCTCCAACTCCTGACCTCAAGTGATCTGTCTGCCTCAGCCTCCCAGAGTACTGGGATTACAGGCATGAGCCACCGCATCTGTCCACGGCTAGGTTTTTAAAATTTCAAGTAAGAATAGCTGATCTAAAGAAGCAGCCCCCTGTAACCCCCATGCTAATCTTGTGTTTGTGATTTTTCTGGTAGGGTCTCAGGGTAAGTCCTTACTCCTTTTGATAGAGAGAGGAATGGGTTTGACTCTGAAGTTTTAGGCAGTCCTGTATCAGTCATTTGGGGAAGAAGATAATTTTTCGTTTGTTTTTGAGACAGGGTCTTACTCTGTCACCCAGGCTGGAGTGCAGTGGTGTGATCATAACTCACTGTAGCCTCAACCTTCTGGGCTCAAACAATCCTCTCACCTCACCCTCCTGAGTAGCTAAGACTACTGGCATGCACCACTACACCCAGCTAATTTTTTTTTATGTAGAGATGGGGTTTTGCCATGTTGCCCAGAGGCTAGTCTTGAACTCCTAGATTCAAGCAGTCTGCCCGCCTCAGTCTCCCAGAATGCTGGGATTATAGGCATTAGCCACTGCACCCAGCAAAGAAGAGAAGTTTGGATTGAGAATTGGGAACTATGTCTAGTTTCTGTCTCTGAGCTTACTTTATTCTGGACTTTGTTTCAAATATTTGAGTGATATGAACTGATGGATGGGCAGTATATGTTAGAAACCTTTATTATGTTTGAAACTATATTCCAGTTAACTAATCTGTGAGCTTTTGAACTGTAATCTGTTAATGCTTTAGGGACTTCTTGTCTCTCCTAGATGACTTCCAATTAATATAAGAAAATCTGAATTCTCAGAGGATGGAGTCAAATCAGTGTGTATAATGCCAAATTACAACTATGGCCAAAGATGATACATCTTCCTAGAAATTGTCTTATTAATAAGGAGATGGAAGGAGGTTGGCAGATATCCGTTTGGCAATTGAAGTGGAAGGGAGGAGAGTAAAAGCAGAGGGAATAGACAGGAGCCAGAAGATGCAGGAAGAAAAAAGAGACAGGGGGAAAGAGACTGGATGAAGGCTTTGAAATCTGAGATGGAGGGCCTGCAAAAATGGAGTGAAAAGGGGGACTGAGGGAACACTACCTGGAAATGGGCCCTGAGAGGAAAGAAAGGAGCCAGATACATGAAGGCAAGGATTAGATCAACTCTATGATCTGGTTCAGAATGGGTGGGTCAGGGCAAACAGCCATATATTAATAGTTTGTACTCTCTTAAGACACTTCTGAGTATGTGTCAGAAGGGCCTTCAGTCCCAACAAGATCAATTTGCTAAACTCATACAAAAAAAAAAAAATAAGGCATCCTGGACTCTTGATCCCCTCTCCTCCATCCCTCATTCCTGAGTCTTCATCATCTTAAGTTCATGGCATTGAACTAAGATGGCAACTGTCTATCTGGCTCCCCAAACCAACACGTAGACACTACACTTGATTTCTCTCTTTTCTTCACCCTGCACACTCAGTCCATCAGCATGACTCCATTTACAGACTTTATCCCCAATCTGGCCACTTCTTTCTGTCTCTACTGCTACTGTCCTAACCTGTCATCTCACCTGGGCCCACTGTTCAAGTATCTGGACTGGATTCTCTCTTTCACATTTGCCCCTGTAGACTGTAGTCTCCAAACAGCAGCTGGATTAATTTATTTGGAGACAAAGTCTCGCCCTGTCACCCAGGCTGGGCAGTGGCATCATCTGGGTTCACTGCAGTCTTGCCTCACTACCAACTCTGTCTCCCATGTCCAAGCAATTCTTCTGCCTCAGCCCCTTGAGTAATTGGGATTACAGGCGCCCACTACCAAGCCCAGCTAATTTTTGTATTTTTAGTAGAGATGGGGTTTCACCATGTTGGTCAGGTTGGTCTCAAACTCTTGACCTCAGGTGATCCACCCACCTCAGCCTCCCAAAGTGCTAAGATTACAGGTTTGAGCCACTGCATCCATGCCTGACTAATTTTTTGTATATTCAGTAGAGACAGGGTTTCACCATGTTAGCCAGGATGGTCTCAATCTCCTGACCTCACGATCCGCCTGCCTCAGCTTCCCAAAGTACTGGGGATTACAGACATGAGCCACCACGCCTGGCTGTAACTGCCATATTTCCATAATGTTAATTGAGAAAAGCATTTTTTGAGTATCATGATATTCTCAGCTAAATGTTGGGATTGTGGTGTGTGGTTTAAAGTCAAGTCCCTAGAACCTCATGATTAGGTTTCTTCTCACCATGGAAACACTTCTGTAGGAAGCCTTTAGAGTCTAATTAAGTCATTGCCTAAAGTCTTCTCCGATAATCTACTCATTATACCACATTGGATATTCCTGTTTCTCACCAGAGACCATATTGGGCAGTGGTGTGGGGAATAGGCGGTGGGCACCTGCCTGACTGATTGGGTTTAGTATGCATGTTGATGTTGATGTTGATTAATGGGAACTCTCCCCCCCAAACCATTTTAAATAATTGAATATCTTTGAAAAAATACTTAGCAGAAGAAGGAAGTTCACCGTTTCATTTTATTTAATTTCCTTTATAAAACCTGAAAGGCAGTACGAAAATAAAGCAACCAGAAACAAGTTTCAATTATGAACATAGATGCAAAAAGTAAAAAATAAAAATCTTAGCAAATAGAATTCCACAATGTATGAAAAGAATACACCATGACCAACTTTACACCAGAGGTGCAAGATTGGTTTAGAATCTAGAAATTCTGTCAACACTAGTCATTATTTCCGCATCTAAAAGGAAGCAGAACACTTGTAATCAGATCGGCAATTACAAATTAGGCACCTGATGAAAAATACAGTAACCATTTCTAATAAGTAGAAACTACTTAAATATGTGAGATTGCTAGTGATGAAAAGAGTCAAACTATTTAAAATACTTGAAAAGATTTAACTGTGAATGACCAATAGCCTGTAACACAGGCCTCAGGAGATCCTGAGAACATTTGCCCAGGGTGGTCGGTATACAATGTGGTTTTATACATTTTAGGGAGACATAAAATGTCAATCATTACATGTAAAATGTACATTATTTTGGTCTGGAACAATGGGACACTTGGAAGCAGAGGCTCCCAGGTCATAGGTGGATTCAAGATTTTTTAATTGACATTTCATTGAAAGAATCTTTTGTTTTTTGTGTGTGTGTGTTTTTTTTTTTTTTTTACTTTTGAGATGGAGTTTTGCTCTCATTGCCTGGGCTGGAGGGCAATGGCTCGATCTCGGCTCACTGCAACCTCTGTGTCCCAGGTTCAAGTGATTCTCCTGCCTCAGCCTCCTGAGTAGCTGGGAGTATAGGCGTGCACAACCACACTTGGCTAAGTTTTGTATTTTTAGTAGAGTTGTGGTTTCTCTATGTTGGTCAGTCTGGTCTCGAACTCCCAGCCTCCAGTGATTCTCCTTGGCCTCCCAAAGTGCTGGGATTACACTCATGAGCCAGGGCCTGAAAGAGTTATTATCTGAAGAGCTGGATTCAATAGAAAGAAATGTCTGGATTATCGTAAGCAATTTTGGAGAACAGAGTTTTGTCATGTGGTTGAAGCCTCCAGGTAGTAGACTTCAGAGAAAGTAGATTGTAAATGTTTCTTATCAGACTTTAAGAGCCTGTTTTGTCAATCTTAAGGTCTGTGTTAATGCTAATGCTGGTCAGCTGGGCCTGAATTCCCAAAGAGAGGAGGGTATAATGAAGCATGTACGACTCCCTCTTCACATCATGGTGTAAACTAGATTTTTACGTTAATGTTGGGATGCTTTCTGCTGAGATGAGGGGTCCATTCAGATGCTTGGGGTCTTGGAATTTTGTTTTTAGTTTACATTAGTTTCCAGAAATCACTACTGGATGTCATTCAAAACAATGACATCTATTAAACTAATAATTCTAGTAAATCTATTTCATTTAAACTCAGAACTGAGCAAGAAGGCATTCAGTAATGTCTTAGAGGCAATAAGACCAATAAAAAAGATTGGCCTAGCCAAGTGTGGTGGCTCACACCTGTAATCCCAGCACTTTGGGAGGCCAAGGCGGGCAGATCATAAGGTCAGGAGCTAGAGACCAGCCTGGTCAACATGGTGAAACCCCATCTGTACTAAAAATACAAAAATTAGCTGGGTGTCGTGGTGGGTGCCTGTAATGTCATCTACTCTGGAGGCTGAGGCAGGAGAATCACTTGAACCCAGAGGTAGAGGTTGCAGTGAGCGGAGATCCAGCCACTGCCTTCCAGCCTTGATGACAGAGCGAGGCTGTCTCAAAAAAAAAAAAAAAAAAAGATTGGCTTAAATATTGGAAAAGAAAGATAATGTTCATTTTTTTCTAGTTATGTGATTGTATACTTAGTAAACCCAAGAGATTTTAGTTTTAAAAATTAATAAGACTCCTCAGAGTCTGGTAGGATAATTAAATACAGCCTAAATAATTTTTTGAAATAAAAAATGTTCTCTGTGCTTGAAATAAGCACCTAAATAATGGAAATGGGGAATGTTTCATCTAAAATTCTGGCAAAAATGATAAAATTCTTCAGAATACATTTAGCAAGAAAAGTATATTACTTATATGAAAAAAGTGATACAATTTTATTAAAGGAAATATTAGTATATTTGAACAAATGGAAAGATTCTCTTTTCTTTGGTTGGGTAAATTATTGCTGCAAAACCATTTTCAGTTTAATCAACTCTCCAAAAATCCCCTTCTGGGGCAGTTTTTGGATTCCAGTTTGTATAATAGATAAAATGATCTAAAAGTTCACAGGAAAATAAACATCCGTGAGTAACCAAGAAAAAAAAACCTTCCCAGACCTTCCCAGATCACAGCGTACCAGAGAGCCAGTATAAATCAGATCATTGTAATGTTGCCCTGGAAATCGTCAGTCAGAACAGATAATCCAGAAATAGTTCCCACTTCGTATGAACATTTAATACATGATAAAAATTTATTTTAGTTCAGTGACAAGAAGATGAATTAATTAATAAATATTACTGGAAAAGCTAGGAATACATGTAGAAGAAATATAGTTGAACCCTGGGATAATTCCCCCATCCCACAGAATTATTGGTTTAAAGATTAAAATGTAATAAAATAATATAATGTTAGAAAATCAAGAACTAAAAACCTTCTAATCGTATGATAAAATAAATATTTTACATATGAAAATTTAGAATTTCTATGCTGTAAATATACATAAATCAATAAAATGAATTTTTAAAAATCAGCCGTCAGCAGATAAACAGTTAATTTGTGATACACTGTGAGTTTATATGTGATACACATATAAACTGGCAACACAAAGACATACAGTATATAGAAAATTTGGCACAGGATTTGAATAAACTGTTCATAGACATGGAAATTCAAATGACAACGAAATATAGAAAAGCGATGCTCAGGTTCACAAGTAGTGAGAGGAATCCAGTTTCCACTGGCGTGGTTTGCTGAAGGGCCGTTGACTACAGAAGAGTGGAGAACTCCTAGCAGGCAAAAAGGAGGTTTCTGGAATCACAGGGCTTCGTTTCCTGCTTTATGATCTTTATTTTCTGAAATGATTGTGCCGACTTTTACAGTCTTAATCACTTTTAGAGATTTTTGATCTTTGTTTTATGCCATGCTTTTTACTGTGCTAGGTTTTCTTTCATTCATTCATTCTTTCTTTTTTCTTTTCTTTTCTTTTTTTTTTTGCTATTCCCCTGCCCATTCTAACGTTTTCTTTTTTTAACTCCAGCTATGCATGACGAATTTCTGTGTAACTTAATTTTTTTTGTGAACACTATCTGGATATGGTTCAGTCTAAAAGATGGGTAGTCATGATATTTTAAATGAACTGTTGTCTTTAGATCTTTCAAATACATTTTTTGTAACATTGGTTTAAAAAAATAAATCCTTAATCTTTTAATATCTAGATTAAAAGAAATAAAATTTGAATAAACCTTTTTATGCAGAAGAGGTTAAATCATGAATATGCACAGTTTGACATAATGTCGTTTCCATTTACAAGGACAAACTTTCATTCCTTTTGCTTGGCCTTCTACACTTGATCTTCGCCAAAAGGCCGAGATCACTTCTCCTTTTGCTTGCTCTTCTTTGAGAGAAAATACTTTGCATTAAAGCTCAGGTTTACTTGGACCATGTATATTTGAGTACCATTTCAAATAGCAAACACATTTTGTAAGCTGAGTTACAATATTGTTGAATGATACGGGGCACGATTCTAAAGAAAAGTTAGTTTCAAGGGCTTTAGAGGTATAGTAGCATTATAGTTTAGTGACCCTAGCATAGCATAGGTAGGTCTTGTCATGCTCCCTTATTGAGGTTTGCAGAACTCCACAGAGAAGTTATTGCAATCTGAGTATCTCTAGCTGTAACATTTTCTGTTTCAAATATTTTTTCTTTTCTAATCGCTTTATTGTGAAAGAATTCATATGATAAAATTTACTCATTTAAAGTGTCAAACTCATTGGTTTTAGTTTATTCAGAGTTGTGCAACAGTCACTATCATCTAATTGTAGAATGTTTTCATCACTTCAGAAAGAAACCCCTTTTGATGTCTAAAGAACAAATCCTCACACTGGGGCTGAAAGTTACCTGGTGAAGTGGCAGAGTGAAAGATATTTTATGTTTATATAAAACATTGCCAGTATTTACAGGCTATTTCCCGCAGCTTGGTAAACAGTTAATGTTTTCTGTTGTTCTCCCTAGGGGCAGGGGTGCTAATTATTTTGTTTTCGTGTTGGTGGGAGTGGTGGTTTTGGAAGGGTTCTTTTATGGTCACAGTTGTTCTCAGGCCATGCTGTCGGTTTGCAGGGCACTAGCTGACATGAATAACGATGGAAGAATGGATCAAGTGGAGTTTTCCATAGCTATGAAACTTATCAAACTCAAGCTACAAGGATATCAGCTACCCTCTACACTTCCCCCTGTCATGAAACAGCAACCAGTTGCTATTTCTAGTGCACCAGCATTTGGTAAGTCTGAAAATGAATTGGTTTTGTACATTTTGTTGTATATTTTAAAAATAAATGTTTTCCTTTTTTCCCCCTCGTAGTTTGTAACATTCTGAAACTCTGGGAGGTAATTCTGTCTGAAAAATGATGGCTCTGTGTAGGAAGATAGTGCTGAGGAGAAGGAGCATGTTCACACACATTTGAACGCTAGGGTGTAAAGTAATCAAAATGAAAGCAGAGGTGCAGGCCGTCAGTCAGGGGAGAAGGGACAAGCTTACAGTCTGCTGCTATAGCTTCTGGGTTTTTTTTTTTTTTTTTTTTTTTTGCTCTTCTGTTGGTCTTTTAAGTTGTTGCATACTTCATTTTGGTTTTTGGTTTCCATAATGTCTGTTTCTCCTTGTGCATAAACAATTTCTTTGTATTACGGTCTCTAGAAATATATATTTTGAATCACAGTATTGAGTCACTTGGCCACATTAAATTCTTTCTTCGAACAAAATGGAATAGAGAAAAAGTAAACATTTTTATCCTGATTAAAAACGTATTCTAGCTGGGCATGGTGGCTCATGCCTGTAATCCCAGCACTTTCGCCAACATGGCGAAACCCCATCTCTACTAAATATAAAAAATTAGCTGGGTATGGTGGTGTGCGTCCCAGATACTCAGGAGGCTGAGGTAGGAGAATTGCTTGAACCCGAGAGATGGAGGCTGCACTGAGCCAAGATTGCGTCACTGTACTCCAGCCTGGGCGACAGAGCAAGACTCTGTCTCAAACAAACAAACAAACCTAATTCCATAAAAACTTATCTTTCAAATAGGTATTTTTTTTTAATAAGTTAATTGGTTAATTAGTTGACTGAGGTCAACAGTTGTGTATAATGGTAATCAAATCTAACGGCTGATTCGTGGGGAGGTTCTTTAACAGTTTAAAACAAAACATGAAAATTGTGGCTAGAGTTTCTTTTCCTCTCTTCATCCTCAGACAGCTGGTGATAAAAAAGTGAAATAGATTTGGGAGGGGGCAGTCAATAGTAATTCAGGGTGTCTCAGATACTATGATAAGCTAAGATCAGAAATTTTGGTTTTACTTATTAGGTTTCCTATTAAAAACAATGTATTGCCTTTCTTTGAGTAAGATTTAGCCACAAGGCTGTTTTTTATAGGGGAAAAGGTTTTGGAAAGATCTTGAGGCAAATTGTGGTTTGAGAAAAGAAAGAAAAATCCATGTGTTAGCAAAGGTAGGGAAGAGCAGATGTGAACACTGCAGCAGCCTCCACATGGCTGGGGCCATTGTTTGTCTTGTCCAGTGTGTGTGTTCACAGTGTTTAGCCTATAATTAACCAGCTAATTTAAGTGGAACTTGCTCTGAATCCTTGAAGGCCTCTGTAGCCAATCTTTGGTCGGGACCCAGGTGTTAAAACAGCTAAAGGGTGTTTGGGGCTGAACACAGTGGCTCATGCCTGTAATCTTAACACTTTGGGAGGCCAAGGCAGGAGGATTGCTTGAGCCCAGGTGTTAGAGACCAGCTTGGCAACATAACAAGTTCTGGTCTCTATTGAAAATTTAAAAATTAACCAGGCAATGCGGTGTGTGCCTATAGTCCCAGCTACTTGGGAAGCTGAGGCTGGAGGATCAAGAGGTCAAGCATGCAGTGAGCCAAGATCATACTACTGCATCCCAGCCTGGGTGACAAAGTGATACCCTGTCTTAAAAAAAGACAAAAACAAAAACGGTGTTTGGTTTTCTATTGGCTTCCTTCCAATGCTGCAAGAAGAAATCTCACAGTGGAGAAAAGGTCAGATGACTGGAGGCATCCCATTTCTTCTTTTTCTCTCAAACCTGGGGGGTCAGTAATTTTTCCTATAACATTTAATTTATTTCCTCTTATTCCATTCTGCCATCAGAATTCCAACTATGGAGCTATTGCTGATTTAGTTTCAGGAGGTTGTGACCTTCCTGCTGAGAAGGTTTGACAGTCATTAAGTAACCTGCTACTGTTAGGAAGGGAAATGTGCCAGGATTTCTGCTCTAATACTCTGCCAAGCAGCCCATTGCTCTTCCCCCAGACTTCTCCCTGTCCTTCCTCACCTTGTTCTCATCACATCGATGTTCTCCCTAAATGATTTTAAAGAGGCTAAACCATGAAGGATATCAGGACATAGGAGAAGTTACTAGTACATGATCCTGATCAAGTTTGCCTAAGTTTACTCAAAGATCTAGTCTTTGCTAGTGTTTGCTAGTTCCACCTCTGAGCTCAATCTAGGGCAATATACATATATTTTTTAGAGTTCATTCAGCCATTTGAGAATAAAATAATTTATTACTATTGTTATTTTTTTCTTGTGACAGAGTCTTGTTCAGTTGCCAGGCTGGAGTACAGTGACATTATCCCGCCTCAGTGCAACCTCCACCTCCTGGGTTCAAGCAATTCTCCTGTCTTAGCCTCCCGAGTAGCTGGGACTTCAGGTGCATGCCACCAGCTAATTTTTGTATTTTTAGTAGAGATAGGGTTTCACTATGTTGGTCAGGCTGGTCTTGAGCTCATGACCTCAGGTAATCCACCTGCCTCAGCCTCCCAAAGTGCTGGGATTACAGGCATGAGCCACCACACTCAGCCTGTTTTCTCATTAATATTTAAAATTATTGGTCAGGTGCAGTGGCTCACACCTGTAATCTCAGCCCTTTGAGAGGCCGAGGTGGGCAGATTGCTTGAGTTATGGAGTTTGAGACCAACCTGGGCAACATGGCAAAACCCCATCTCTACAAAAATTACAAAAATTAGCTGGGTATGGTGGTGTTCGCCTATAGTCCTAGCTGCTTGGAAGACTGGGTCAGGAGGATGGCTTGAGCCCAAGAGGTGGAGATTGCAGTGAGCTGAGATTGTGCCACTGCACTCTAGCCTGGGTGACAAAGCCAGACCCTATCTCAAAAACCAAAACAAAAACTTGACTCTGCATTTCCTCACCCTTATATATAGTATGTACCTTCACGTACAATATTTTATTTGATCACGAGGATATCTCTAAAATGTATGCGGAATTTATTAGCTCTGTTATATAAATGAGGGAACTGGGATTCTAAGCAATTAAACATTTTGCTTAAGGCTTTATTTGTAACAAAGAAGGTCGAACCTGTCCAAAGCTACAGTTTATCTAAAGGTTTTAGGTTTTTAAAAATTACCATCTCCCTGCCTTCATTATCACCAAACCAACTGGGTAACACGGCGTGTGACTCTTGGAGGGTTCCTTGAGTGCATGGGTTTCGTTTTGTTTGGCGACAGGTCTCACTGTGTTTCCCAGACTGGAGTGCAGTAGCATGATCATAGCTCACTGCAGCCTCCAACTCCTAGGCTCAAGTGTTCCTCCTGTTTAAGCCTCCTGTGTAGCTGGAACTATAGTCATGCACCACCATACTGAACTAATTAAAAAAATTTTTTTGTAGATACAATCTTGCTGTGTTGCCCATACTGACCTCAAACTTCTAATCTCAAGTAATCCTCCCATCTTGGCTTCCCAAAGTCTCACCTATTTTTTAATGTAGTTGTTAACACTGTAGAATTAAGGCTCAGGCTGGGGTCTGAACAATGATTTTGTTCAACTCCCCTACAGAGAAGAGAGAGAAATGGGGTGCAGTGATACTGTGACTTGCCTAAGGGCACCCAGAAAGTAGAATTTTCTATTCTAGGAAATTCTGTGAGTAGACGTGGTACCTTCTTTCACCAGTGTGTTTACATTCAGCATAATTCTTCTTTGGTTCTGGACCCAACTTATACAGGAGGAGTCTATTTTTCTCTTGCTTGGTTTATGTTTTGCCAGAGTACTTGGTTTTATTGGATTAAACTGGTGTTTTGTAAGCCCCTACTGTGTGTCCTAGTTGCTGGAACATGCTGGCCAGCAAGACCTCATGGTTCCTACGGTTGTGATGGATGTTACTTCTTTCTTTTCTTTTTTTTTTTTGAGACAGTCTTGCTCTGTCGCCCAGGCTGGAGTGCAGTGGCATATACTGGCTCACAGCAACCTCTGCCTCCCAGGTTTGAGTGATTCTCCTGCCTCAGCCTCCCGAGTAGCTGGGACTACAGGTGTGTGCCACCATGCCTGGCTTTTTTTTGTATTTTTAGTAGAGACAGGGTTTTACCATGTTAGCTAGGATGGTCCTGATTTCCTGACCTTGTGATCCGCTCTCCTCAGCTTCCTGAAGTACTGGGATTATAGGCGTGAGCCACCGCACCAGACATTCTTTTTATTTATTTATTTATTTTTGAGATGCAGTCTCACTCCTATTGCACAGACTGAAGTGCAGTGGTGCAGTCTTGGCTCACTGGAACCTTCACCCCCCGGGTTCAAGTGATTCTTCTTTGTGGATCTTATTTTCAAATTGTAGGGAACAAGGAAATAAATACTTTTAGGTAAGAATAAGTGCAATCAGTTTATTAAAACGGTAATAGGAGAGAGAGAGAGAGAGCGCGCGAGCGCGAGCATGAGAGTGAGCGCACACGCAGTGGAACAGGATGGCCAGGGAAGAATTATTTGAGCAGATGACTGATCTGATGTAGACGATGAGAGCCACCTGAAGACCTAAGGGAGAGGCTTTCCAGGCTAAAGGAACTGCCATTGCAAAGGTCCTAAGGCAAAACTAGCTTGGGGTTTGGAAGGTGTGCGAGGGGCATTGTAGCTGAAGCATGGGTAGACCATAAGGAAAATCAAGCAAGCAAGCAACAGTTTGTTTAAGCAGAAGAGTGACATGGTTGATAGGACTTAGTCTGTGTTATCTGAAGACTGGAATGTAGGGGGACAAGAATGGAATCCTGGAGATCAGTTAGGAGGCCTTTGCCATGGGCAAGAAGTAATGGTGATTGATACCTGGTGGTGAAAAATATGGAGGACAGATTAGATTCATTATAGCCTGTATTTTGGAGAAAAAGTAAAAAGGACTTGTCAATAGATTGGAAATAGGAAATGAAAAAGAGAATTAAGGCTTTCGCATGAATAACTAGATGGATGGTATAACTGCATACTGAGAGG